CTTCCCTCCTCGAGTCCTTCCCTCCTCGAGTCCTTCCCTCCTCGAGTCCTTCCCTCCTCGAGTCCTTCCCTCCTCGAGTCCTTCCCTCCTCGAGTCCTTCCCTCCTCGAGTCCTTCCCTCCTCGAGTCCTTCCCTCCTCGAGTCCTTCCCTCCTCGAGTCCTTCCCTCCTCGAGTCCTTCCCTCCTCGAGTCCTTCCCTCCTCGAGTCCTTCCCTCCTCGAGTCCTTCCCTCCTCGAGTCCTTCCCTCCTCGAGTCCTTCCCTCCTCGAGTCCTTCCCTCCTCGAGTCCTTCCCTCCTCGAGTCCTTCCCTCCTCGAGTCCTTCCCTCCTCGAGTCCTTCCCTCCTCGAGTCCTTCCCTCCTCGAGTCCTTCCCTCCTCGAGTCCTTCCCTCCTCGAGTCCTTCCCTCCTCGAGTCCTTCCCTCCTCGAGTCCTTCCCTCCTCGAGTCCTTCCCTCCTCGAGTCCTTCCCTCCTCGAGTCCTTCCCTCCTCGAGTCCTTCCCTCCTCGAGTCCTTCCCTCCTCGAGTCCTTCCCTCCTCGAGTCCTTCCCTCCTCGAGTCCTTCCCTCCTCGAGTCCTTCCCTCCTCGAGTCCTTCCCTCCTCGAGTCCTTCCCTCCTCGAGTCCTTCCCTCCTCGAGTCCTTCCCTCCTCGAGTCCTTCCCTCCTCGAGTCCTTCCCTCCTCGAGTCCTTCCCTCCTCGAGTCCTTCCCTCCTCGAGTCCTTCCCTCCTCGAGTCCTTCCCTCCTCGAGTCCTTCCCTCCTCGAGTCCTTCCCTCCTCGAGTCCTTCCCTCCTCGAGTCCTTCCCTCCTCGAGTCCTTCCCTCCTCGAGTCCTTCCCTCCTCGAGTCCTTCCCTCCTCGAGTCCTTCCCTCCTCGAGTCCTTCCCTCCTCGAGTCCTTCCCTCCTCGAGTCCTTCCCTCCTCGAGTCCTTCCCTCCTCGAGTCCTTCCCTCCTCGAGTCCTTCCCTCCTCGAGTCCTTCCCTCCTCGAGTCCTTCCCTCCTCGAGTCCTTCCCTCCTCGAGTCCTTCCCTCCTCGAGTCCTTCCCTCCTCGAGTCCTTCCCTCCTCGAGTCCTTCCCTCCCCGAGTCCTTCCCTCCTCGAGTCCTGGACGTGTGGGGAATTGGCCCTCCAGGGAACCCCACTGCGCTCCGTTGGCAGGGGACAACTTTATGTAGCCGTTAGGTTATGCAGGAGGTGCTCACCTTCAGCTGTCTTTGGTGTGCACGTGCTGATGCTTGTCCTCTCAGGAAAGGTTTCCAGGCATTCCTGGAGTTGACCCTGCTTTGAGAAGGGGGGATGGACAAGGTGATATCCAGAGGTCATTTCCAAACCCAGTTGTGATGCTATGACTTAATCATCTTGAATGATTTTAGGAATTGACAGTCCGTTCCCTCCATGTGTCCTCAGCAAGGCAAACACAATCTGTTACGAAGTTCAGTATCCAGGTGAACTTGGTATGCTAAAACTATGTGTTTTCAAAGAACAGGTAACTTGAGGTAGAACTCCAGAAATCAGGGTGGTTGGGGGAGAGGAAGTTTGGCATTAGGTCAGTACTCTTTGGGGCAGACTGATGGCTGAACTGAGGACTCAGTACTTACCAGTGTGAGGAGACCCTTTTAGGAGATGGAGGCAGTGATCCTGATGTTATTGCTTGAGCTGACAGCATGCAAGAGCCTTGTTTGTTCTTTCTTCAGACTGCACCAAGGCCTTGCCGCTTTCCCTTCCACTTGCTTTGGACAGCTGTGACTTACAGCTTCAAGATGGAAGCTACGCTAACAGCTAGCCAGATCCGGCAACGGTTTATTGACTTCTTCAAGGAAAACAAGCATACATATGTGCACTCCTCTTCTACAATCCCCCTGTATGACCCCACACTGCTCTTTGCCAACGCTGGTATGAATCAGGTAAGATTCCCACTCTGGTACTGTGGTCCTTATGAACATATCCTGTAGCAGTTGAAACCTGTGAAGCTGTTTGCAGAGCTTTGTGTGGAAAATTATGGCTGTTTTCTCCATCTTCCTTCTGTTTATGAAGAGGTGGTTATCATGTCTGCTGGAGTCCTCTGTGCTCTTGCAAAATTGGCAAGAGCGCTGGAAGAGGTTCCTGTGTCTGCTGGGCTGACTGTACAGCGATGGGAGAGCTGCCAGTCTTCCTTCCTTGACCCTTTGTACCACAGCTGGTCCTGGCCCAGATGACTAACAGTGTCTTTAAAGAGTGGTTGAGGCTGGGCTGCTGAAAGGGCTCTGCTGGAGGTCAGCACACAGTTTTTCACTGACTTTTTTTTTTTTTTGTCAGCTGGGAATCTGGTTACTTACAGTCCCTTTGCAAGTCCTGGGGTTAGGTGGGCTCCAGGAACACGTGCATGTGTGTGAGTGCTAAGTTATAGGCAGTGCTGCAGCCTCGTCAGACAGGAGGCAGCAGGCTTCTTGTCTCCACAAGCTGCCTTGGGTACGTCCAGGCTAGTGGTATCGTGATGTGGATGACACTTAACTGCCTTGCTGTTGTCTGCAATGTTTGAAAACAGTCTCTTAGTGCTTCTCTTGATTGTCTTTTTTCTTTCCTCTCAGTTCAAACCCATCTTCCTCAATACTATTGACCCTTCACACCCGCTCGCTAAGCTGAACAGAGCCACCAACACTCAGAAGTGCATCCGAGCAGGGGGCAAACACAATGACCTGGATGATGTCGGGAAAGATGTCTACCACCACACCTTCTTTGAGATGTTGGGTTCCTGGTCCTTTGGGGATTATTTTAAGGTAAAACAAGCTAGGTGCAGCTCTGAATCTCTTGCACAGACTTACCCATCTCTATGAATTCTGCAGATCAGTTGCCAAGAGGAGAGAGAATATCTTTGCATAGAATGGGTCCTGAGGTGTGTCTGGCTTCTTTGGAATAAATGAGCTTGGAAGCTGCCTCGACCCTGCAGAACGTTTTGAGATTAATTACTTAAAGTTTACAAAGCTGATTATATTAACTCTGCCAGCTTGGAGACTTCAGGCAGAGGTTTTAGTGGCTGTACTGGAGCTGTGGGGAGTTGCAGGTGCTGTGTGACCATGATGGATCTTCTGATC